TGGCTTCTTATCCATTAAATAATTATGATAGATTTGTTAATAGTTTTCAGAATCTTAATAAATTAGTTTTTTATAATCATATTAGTAATGAATTTATTGATAAATTAGCAAATATTTGTAAATGTATTCAATCATTAGGAATATATGGTTCATGCAGCAACAATAAACTTCAAGATAGTCTGACTCAACTAATTAATGCACAAAATCAAATAAAGCAATTAACCATGCATTTATACTTTAGTCAGCCTTTATCAGATAATTTCAAAAATGCAATTCTCACACATTCACAATCAATAATTTATTATTCAAGTAATAAACCAAATAATATAGATCATATATTATTACCAACATTTAACAATTTAAGGACTTTATCATTATGTTATGAAAAAACAAGATGGATGAAAAATATTTCACTGCCAAATATTGAATCTGTGAGCTTACATTTTGGTAGGCAACAATTTATATCAGACTTGCCTAATTTTATTAGCATCAATGGAAAAACTCTTAAATATTTGGATGTTGGTGGTTTTCCAAATGACAATGAATTTTTGGGAAAGCTATTTCAATCAATTGCACAATGTTGTAAAAATTTAGTGAACTTGGCAATACTTTATAATGATGAAGTAAACAAGAAGTTAACAGAAGTATTTAACAATTGTATTAAATTAAAAAAGATTGTACTTAAAAATGGTTATACATGTACATTAAATGGTGATAAAATACTTTCAGTACTAAATCAAACATTACCAAAAAATTAAAATCAATAATGCTTCCTTGTAAGTTTTCTACTATTAATGTCAATTCTTTTAATAATCTAACAAAGAATTGGAGAGGACCTAAACCTTTTACAATAAAATTTGATGATTGTCAGAAATTAGTAGATTGATCAGGATTTAGGTTTTTTAAATTATATAAATTTAATATATATTATTTTTAATGGGAAAATAATAAACCATTTTATTGTGTGACAAATAAAAAATTAAAATTTTCTTTACAATGATTTTACCACTTGAGCTTTTGATTGAAGAATTTAAATACAATGATGATTATAAAACATTATATTCTTGCATTCTTGTCAATAAACAATGGTACTATGTTAATATT